TGATGAAGTTGTGCAACGCCATGCATGCAACTATTATATGTGTCTGTGTCTCAGATGGATACGACGGAATGTTAAACAATATGCGCCACCTCATCTTTAACACTCCAAACGTCCTTTCGATGACATTTCTAAAAGATGAATGCGCATAATTGAATGTCTCTTTAATACCTTGTGGTTCGGGGGCGTTTTGAAAGTCTTGGATGTGATACTTGGTCTGCCGGTAAGGAGACAGAAACCCGAGGCGGTTTGCATACCCCGAGTCCACCAGGTAGTACTTCTCTGCAGCAGTAAGTACCTATAAGTTTAACAAGCTTCAATTAGACAACAGTATTGAACTAGCAGCAACGTTTGTACCTCTAGACGCCTTAGGGAAGAAATCTCTATACTTTGTGAGTGCATCATCTAACACTCTCATGTCATGCACCGATCCAGGCCAGCCAGCAAGGACAAAAGTAAAGACCATGTCGAAGTCACAAATGGACATGACATTCTGGGTTGTCTTGCCCTTCCGACACATGTGCTGCATAAATTTATCACTTGGCACGACCACAGGAATGTGAGTGCCATCTATTGCCCCTATACAACCCTTGAATTCAAGATAGAACCTAGCATTCTGGACCCTATGATGCATTGTTGTAAAATCTGGGTCCCTAGGTTTAATGATGTCGGCAGATAGGTCTAACACACTGCTCAGGACTTTGTAAAAAAGGTTGTGCACAGTGCCCAGTGATCTCTCAAATCTGTCCTCTGCTTGCCTAACTGATTGTGGAGCCCCAAGTATCCAAAGGAACATTGCTAGAGCCTCAATAGAGGTAGACTTGGTTGAGGATGTGAGGCCATAGTTTGTACTCAACAAACTATGAAGACTATAAAACATTTGGGGAGTCATTCTAAACATGTTGTAGCAGGCAGTTTGATTAGCAAGCTTGTTTTGTACCCATTCCTCACCTGTATATTGTGGCTGCCTATACTCAGCTCTATTGCAATACTTGTCCAGATGTATAGCGTAGTCATACGTACCATAGATAAATGCTGCTTCATCATCATCTTCTAGCAGCATATTCCAAAACTCCTCCCACCAGTCGTCGTCATCATCCACTTGAGCATTAACTTGATGAACAACTTCCTGGCAATTGCAATAGAACACACAGACAGTCAGTACAAAAACTGTTGGTACCCACTATACTCATGCAAGGCTACCTGAATTCAAACATACCATGACCTCACACAGGCAATCAATATAAAAAAATTAGCTTCAGAACTTAGTTTAACAACCATGCTGCAAATTAAGGGCTTAATGACATTGTTCCTCATCACAACCTCGCACATAAAAGACATAGTTCATATAGGACTAATGATCTGCACACACAAAAGACATAGTTCATCATGCCAACTACAGTCACTTTTAGGTGAAATGCATGGATAGATGGTTCTAGTTTCCGACCCCAGCATAGTGCTTAATGACTTCAAGCCTTGCTTCCACAGGTGTCTCGAGGAAGACAGTCCTGGCATCGTCATCTTTGCAGATATTGATGACACCAACCCACAGCCCTTGAATCTTGTGCGCCCCAACCTCTCTTGCTGCAGCCGCAACCAATTTTTGTTCTTCTTTCTTGATGTTCTTCTCCTCATCAAGAGCCGCAACCTGCTGCTGCCTCTCCTTCCAGCAGTTTTGCATCATTGCGGTCCTGTTCTCATAACTGAAGTTGAACCTGCTCATGTTGGCATCCATGGACCGAACAGCTGCACTCTTGGACTTCTTGCTGGGAGATGATGCATCGCTGCGAGTGCTGCTGCTCCTCTTGCTTCCAGAGCTGACTGGGGTCGCACAGCTCAGAGGGGTGACCTGGTCATGATCTGCTTCTTCTTCGCCGCTGCTAACGTAGTGAAGGCGGCGGCTCACCCCAGGAACAAATGAGGTATCTCCATTCACGGCAACTCCAACGAACATGCGGTCCAGTTCATTAATGTATTCTGGCCATCCATCTTTGAGTTCCATCCAGTCTTGCTTCCCCTGCATTGCAAACAACAAACCACATACTGTCAGAATCAACAATAGATGAGAAGCACAGAGGAACAATAGATGAGTACAGAGCTCATGAACCTTGCAATGGTCTTTCCACCACTTGTCAAAAGCAACCACAGAGCCATCTTCTCTTCTTCCCAAGCCTGTGGCCTTGTGCCGAAGGTCCTCGATGAAAAGCCAAAGCTGTTTCAGCTGTCTGTACTTATGCCCGAACTGCTCACTGTCATGAAGCTTACCAGTCGTAGCTCGAAACCTGTCCTGGACATCTTTCCACCCCCATTTGGTCATGTTGCCATTCTTGCAGTTACCCAAATCAATTTGGGTGCAGTAAATCTCACAAAACTTCTTAATATCATCTTTGTTCCACTTTGCTCTGGTTATCTCATTCTGTGGACATTGTAATGGACAAGCAATGCATGAACAATACCTCATATGAAAGTAAGCATTACAAATGGAGGCATGGAACACGACAGGGAAAATGTAAACACAAAGGCAGAACGTCGATTCGAAACGCGGAAATGGGAAGCGAGATGTACCGAGACGGGAGGGTTGTTGTCGCCGCCATCGCTTTGACCTTGCAGCGCATGCGACGACGGGCACCACCATGACGACACAGATGCAGCTTTCAGCGGCGACGATGCACGGGAGCCGTGTTCACCCCACCGCTGCAGGGAGGCACGCGGACGGGAGGGGGGCCCCGGCTGCTGCCGATTCCGCCCGCTTGGTCGCCGGAGCGAAGGATGCCTTCGTAGGCGTCGATGTTTGGCCAACCTTCGCTTGCGTTGACGTTGAGCCCAGACATACGCAGGTCACCTGGGGACGGGATGGTCGACGACGAGAGCGGAGGCGGCACGGAGGTGTACGAGTTGTAGTCACCGGATCCGGAGCCCGGCGGCGCCAGGGAGAAGAGGTTCCTTGTGCGGCGGCCGTCGTAGTAGTCGGAGACGTTGTCGTATCCGGCGAGGTCGAACTCGGAGCCGTTGCCGGATGCGCCGACGTTGAACTCCGAGCCGTTCCCTTCGCCATTGAAGCCGTCCATCGCCGATGACGGGGTCAACCACGGTCGATCCGGTAGCGGACGCGATGGATCCGACCGACAATGGGGTGGATCTGGCGGTGGAACGGTGGATTGGAGCGCAGGCGGCGAGAGGAGCGGCGGGGGAGAGGGAGAGCGGCGCTGCGGGAGAGGGAGCCGGCGCTAGGGTTTGGGAGTGTGGCTGAGGAGTGCGAATGAGCGAGAGAGGATGGGGGCGGTCGTCGGCGGGGGTATTACGTCCACGGCCGAATTTGGGCGCTCCAAAGTTGGTAGGCCTGTTTAGTTAAGAAGGGCCAAAGCACTGTGCAATTCTGGACTCCTCGCCCGAATTCAGGCGAACTAAACGGGCCCCTGGCCTTCGGCTTCATTCTTGCCAAAACTTGGTTCTTATGATTGGAAAGAAGTGGTATGTCAGTTGTCAGAATAGGCTTATTTAAGTAACACTTAATGATCTTCTTAACTTTGGTGATACGTCAATTTGCCCCCGCCAAGACAACCAGGAAAACAGTTCAGCTACGCCGCCAGCCCCATCTGAAATGAATGAATTCTGCATGTGCATCGGATGAGATTGAGATCCAGCACTCAGTTGGCTGCAACTGCCGCTCCGGGACGGGCAGTAGGCACCGACATTGCACTAATCTACAGCGTTGGGCTTGGACCGGGTTTATTATTATATATAATCCAAAAATACTACTCCCTCCATCCCAAATTGTAAGTCATTCCAAGAATCTTGGAGAGTCAAAGTTTTTCAAGTTTGACCAAATTTATATAACAAAATAATAATATTTATCATACCAAGTAAGTATCATTAGATTCTTCATTAGTTATATTTTCATATTATACCTATTTGATGTCATCAATCTTTGTGTTTTTCTCTATAATTTTAGTCAAACTTGAAAAAGTTTGACTCTCCAAGATTCTTGGAATGACTTACAATTTGGGATGGAGGGAGTAATAACAAATCCGGTGTTGAATTGCACGTTTACTCATCAGTCGTCTCAGAAAGAACTTGAGACTTTTCCCTGCGTGTCATTATAAAAGATCGTAATCTTTTATGTGCCTCTGAAAAAATTCAGCGGTCTTCAGCGCCACTACTCTAACTTTTTTGGGTCCTCCATGCCACTTCTGTCAGTTCAGGCTCTAACGCCGTCAAACCGTAGATGTGAAAAGACGAAAATGCCCTTAAGTTCAAATATGTTATTATTTTTTTTGAGCATCTTAACGACTTCAAATGAAAAAACTCAAAACTAGAAAGTTGTAGATCTCGTCGAGATCTATAATTTTCATATAAAATTTATTTTCATTTAATTCCGCAAAAAAATATGATGATTTTTCTAAGATATATTAATCATATCAAATCATATTTTTTTTGCGGAATTAAATGAAAATAATTTTTATATAAAAATTATAGATCTCGACGAGATCTACAACTTTCTAGTTTTGAGTTTTTTCATTTGAAGTCGTTAAGATGCTAAAAAAAATTAATAACATATTTGAACTTAAGGGCATTTTCGTCTTTTCATATATGCGGTTTGACGGCGTTAGAGCCTGAACTGATAGAAGTGATATGGAGGACCCGAAAAAGTTAGAGTAGTGGCGCTGAAAACCGCTAAATTTTTTCAAAGACACATAAAAAATTACAATCTTTTATAATGACACACAGATAAAAGTATCATAGAACTTCCACTGGCAAAGATCAAGTATCATAGAACTTCCACTGGCGTGGAAGGTGAGGCGGTCGGTCCTCTATTTGTTGGGGCCTGGGGGAAGGTTGGCAGTTCCGTGTACCGCGAGCCGCGCCCAAAATTTCACGCACCGATCCCGAGCCAAACCGTAGGGGGAGTCGGGGAGAGGCACAAGGCCACAAGGAGTGCGAGGCGAGGGCCGACACCGGGGGCAAGCGAGGCGCGCCGCGGCGGCGGAGCCGCGGAGGCAGCAATGGCGGCGCTGCAGAGCTGGCGCAAGGCGTACGGCGCGCTGAAGGACACCACCACCGTCAGCCTCGCCAACCTCAACTCCGACTTCAAGGTCCGCCGTCGAATCCTCACTCACCCGTCCCACGGTTTCCCCCCGATTTTGCGGGCGCCAAATCCGGTCCAGTTCATGAGCGTCGGTCGTGCGCTCGCCGTCGGATCTGTGGCCGCACGCCTGCGCTGCACTGGGTTTTATTGATTCTCTTTGGCGTGTGGTTTTTGTTTTCTCAGGATCTGGATGTCGCGATCGTGAGGGCCACCAACCACGTGGAGAGCCCGCCCAAGGAGCGCCACCTGCGCAGTGCGTGGATTCCTCCCATGTTCTCCTTTAGGAACTACCCGGATCGTCGTGCGCTGTGGTTTCTCCAGCATTTCTCGGTTTGAGTTTGCTGTCTGATGGGTTTGTCGGTGCCGGTGTTGCATAGATTGTGGCGGTGACGTCCATCGCGAGGCCACGGGCGGATGTCGCCTACTGCATCCATGCGCTTGCCCGGCGACTCGCCAAAACCAGGAACTGGATTGTAAGCACTGCTGCACTCCGGTTCAGATTATTTGTGTCGTTCTGTGTATTCGATGCTCTGATGGTTGCTTTAGCTGCTAAATTGGTGCCGATCTTGTAATGGTATTGGGTGATCGATGAACTATGAATCTCAAATGCAATTTCGTTTGTTAAAAATGTGATCACACTGTGGAATTGAGTGCAGACTAAATGCTCAATCGTCAGATGCCCAAGTTTCATGCGAGGTTAGTGAGGATGCAGTGCTATTGATTTGGGCATCTGAACCTTGGTCATTGCACACTGGAGAGCTCGAGCTCATATGTTTAGTTATATAATAGTATATTGTGTTGTGAGTCTGGAATTGCAATAGAAATTAGACCTTTATTATCTGTGCTTTTGGTGGCTTGAGTGTATATGTACTAGTTAATTTGGATGTGGGAACAAAAAACAGAAAGAGACGCAACTGAGGATTTTGTTATTTACTGCTGCAATCATGATATTATACAGCCAAGTTGAAAATTCTCTGCGTAGCATAATAAGCTTGTTTACAAAAGCACAGTGAAAATTCTACATTTAACACAATTCTTCACTTTTTGTGGTCGCTTTTATTTGAACTGAGAATTGATGATTTAAATTGTGTGGTTCCTTCTTTTCTGTTGATTGTCTGAAGCCTGTTTGACACCCTGTAGTGTTATGTCGTTGAATTAAACTCTTTTTTTAATGGTTAATTTTTGGTCTTGCCTGAATCGTATGATGGAGTTCAGTTGAGATGGCGCAACCCGATGCTTGAATAGGTCTAATTTGTACAATGAGTTCTTCTTGTGTTATGTAGGTTGCTCTGAAGACACTTGTAGTGATCCATAGGCTTCTTCGGGAAGGTGATCCTGCATTCCGCAAAGAGTTTCTAACATTTACTCAGAGAGTGCGGATTTTGCAGTTGTCAAACTTCAAGGATGATTCCAGCCCAGTTGGTCTGTATTTCTTCAATTTAAATTTAACCTGATGTTTTATTTGGATCATTAATATTCTTCCATAATCTTCTAATCTATTGTCTTTATATTTCGAAATTATATCCAGCTTGGGATTATTCTTCATGGGTTCGCTCATACGGTTTATTTTTGGAGGAAAAACTAGAATGCTTCAGGGTCTTGAAGTATGACATTGAAGCCGAGCGTTTATCAAAGCAAGGTCAAGGACCTGAAAAGGTCTGGATTCTGACTTGCTCATCTAGTATTTTGATGTCATTTTATTACCACTTTACCAAAGCTGTGCGGTGCTATCCATTATTTGTAGCTATATTACTTGCTGGTGATACTTCAACATGTAATTCAACTTCTTTGTTTTCAGGGACACAGTAGAACTAGGGAATTGAATTCTCAGGACTTGCTGGAGCAATTGCCAGCACTGCAGCAATTGTTATATCGACTTATTGGCTGTCGGGTGATTCTCTCTTATCCTTGCAACAAATAAGTTGGATTAGTGAAAGAAACCGATTTAATAAACATATTTAGTTTTTTGGTCTGTATTTTTCTTTTTTAACTAAGCCAACATGGCACTGCTTTTCCTTTTGTATTCAGGCAGAAGGATCTGCAAATAACAATTATTTGGTGCAATATGCTCTAGCCCGGGTAAGCTCTGTTTTTTCTGTCATTTTTTTTTGCTTCAACTTCTACAAGGTGATCTTTATATTTAGTTTAACAAGCCAACTGGTCATTTGTGAATCTGTCTGGCTATGCTTGCACTTTATGACCTATTCAATGTATAATAGAGCAGTCCAATTCCTTCTGTGTAATAGTTTATTCTTAGATCTGGGGCATCTTACGCAATTTGAGTGAATCCTGCTTCTGTACAGGTTCTTAAAGAAAGCTTCAAAATTTATTGTGCAATAAATGGTGGAATTATCAACCTTGTTGACAAGGTATATTAATCTTCAAAGAAGTAGGAATTTGTCTATGTTTGTAACATCCGGGCTCAGGGCTTAATATGATTAATAGGATACTCGTACCAACAAGTTGCAACTTCTTTTCTGGAAGCCCATCTCTTAAGAACTCCAAGGTTAAGCGTGCTTGGCCTGGAGCGATGGGTGACCGACCGGGAAGTTCTTCCCGGGGGCGCATGAGTGAGGACAAAGTGCGCAGAAAAGACTGGTGTTGGTCTGTGATGGTAGTCTATGTCTTAGGAAAGCTATCAGATGTAAGCGGGCCCAGCCTCGGAGAGGTGGGACGTTACAGAATGGTATCAGAGCCGACTCTCGCGGTTTCACGGGCGCGTGTGTCGTAGTTGTGCAGGCATGGTGCGCATGGCTGGTGTGGATCCGGCGTGGTCACACACAGCAAAGGCACATCTTGGCACTAGACACACGGACGTGGCTAGAGGGGCGTTCACGGCTTGGATTGATCGACGAGGACGCCGATCTCTTAAGGGGTGAGGATGTAACACCCGGCTCGAGGCTTAATAGGATTAATAGGATACTGCATCTTAAACAAGTTGCAACTTCTTTTCTAGAAGCCCATCTCTTAAGAACTCCAAGGTTAAGCGTGCTTGGCCTGGAGCGATGGGTGACCGACCGGGAAGTTCTTCCCGGGGGCGCATGAGTGAGGACAAAGTGCGCAGAAAAGACTGGTGTTGGTCTGTGAGGGCAGTCTATGTCCTAGGAAAGCTATCAGATGTAAGCGGGCCCAGCCTCGGAGAGGTGGGACGTTACAATGTTGAGCTGAGCTATTTCTACTTATGCTTCCTGTTTCCTGTTGGCTGTCAAACAACTGTGCAGTTCTTTGAGATGCCAAAGCATGAAGCACTAAAAGCCCTTGACATTTACAGGAGGTCTGGCCAGCAGGTAACTGCCCTATACTGTAGTAATGTGCAATGTATCTTAACTTGAAGAAGATCAGGATGTAACAATTATGTGTGCTTAGACGCTTAGCTGCTATTTCTACTCATTAACATCTTTGATGCTTCAGGCTGGAAACCTATCTGACTTCTATGAAAGTTGTCGGGGTTTAGAGCTCGCAAGAAATTTCCAGTTTCCCACTTTGAGGTAGGTGAGGTCATTTGTCTCAGTGTTCGCCATGTAATTTTTTACTATGTAAGAGTATGACCAGATACTCAGATTTGATTTCTCTTATTTTCAGCCACCACAAACATTCCTTTCAACCATGGAGGAGTATGTGAAGGAGGCTCCACGTATGATGCCAGTTATAGAGCCACTGGTTAGTTCCTGGGTTCTAATAAACCATTTGGATTTTTGCATGACACCTTTACATTTTATAACAACAAGTAACAAGTAGGAGTCTCAACGATGGTATTTGTGTGATACTACCTGTGCCTTGCATGTTAATGTAGCATATCACAACCAGTGGCGAAGCTAGAGCAAATTAGAGCGCGCGCGCGCGCAGGGGGGGGGGAGTGCTCTTGCCTAGTGGGTACATATACATGTTCCACAGGGGTTGCATGTATGGTGAAAAAATAGATACCATCATTGTTTTAACATTTTTAGGGGTTTAGGGGGTACATTTGCGCCCCCTAATCTCAAATTCTCAATGTAGCTTGCACTGATCACAACTTCATTCTTCTTTTATATCTAATGACAGCAAACTACTACCTGATGTAGGGAAACTGTTAACATCAATATTTGTTGCCCGATGAACAATTTCTCTTTTAGTTTGATATTTTTGTGATAATTGTGTCATCAGTGTGAATGTCACACACTCTTTTTGGGAGATAAATGATTACTGTCAAGTCAAGTTTATACCAGGCAATTTACTTATTGTGGAATGGATTCTTAAATACGGGCTATCCTTCTTATTTCATCAGGAGCTTCCTCAGCGGCTTCTTCTGACGTACAAACCAGAAGAAGAAGAAGTTTGTGAGCCTGTTCCTATTGTAGAGGAGAAACTGCAAGTTGTTGAAGAACCTGCTCCAGTTCCTTCTTCCCAAATAGCTTCGCCTCCCAAGCCTGAGATTGCAGATACTGGTGATTTACTGGTAAGTATGAAAATGGTCATAAAGTGAGTGGCATTAATGCTTTTACATTATAATCTAAATGTCATATTTTCTCATAGGGGTTAGGTGATTCAACCCCTACTGTGTCGGCAAGGAGAGCAACGCTTTGGCCTTAGCAATTCTTCCGACAGGTAATTAATCAAATAGTTGTGTTATTAATTATATCATGTAGTTCTAAGAAGTGTATGCATGCATGCTGCAGGTGTTGATAATTCAACAACTACACAGCAAGATAGAGGATTTGATCCAACAGGATGGGAACTTGCTCTTGTTACTACAAGCAGCAACATGACTCCACTGTCTATGGAGAGTAATTTGGTTTGTTTCTTAATCTTTCATTGAGGATATCTACCTTTCAGTTGGTTGCCACAGTTTTTCCAAATCAAAGATTTTAGAGATGCTATGCTGCTGTGTACTCTGTTTCGTGCAACTTTGTTAAGCTCCTGTAGTTCTACTGTCAAGCTTAACTCATTTACTGGCTGAAAAGTGAAAACCAGTATGCTGGTATGCTGGTTCACTGCAGTTGAAAACTAGTAGCAATGAGTAGCTAATTGCTATCTTATCAAAGTGCAATCACAAAGAAAAGTAAAATTGCTATTTTGTGGTAACTCGTGCAAATTACTTTATAGAGCACCTTTTGAGAAGTTGTATTTTGCCTCCTCGATTGCTTGAGCCAGCTGACAGCACCACTTGTCATCGACGGAGACTCAATGAGCTTTCTGGAATTTTGTAGTATGGATAAACATCCAGAACATATATATAGGAACTAAGATACTCCCAATATCAAACGGCTGAGACTGATGATTATTCCCATCCACAGCCGTTGGAAAAGCTTCTTATGAATGTTCAGTTGATAGTTGACAGTTCATATAATACTAGGGGAAATTTGGGATTCACAACTCTATTTCTTGTCATTTCATGAATTGCCAGGTGGCATACATTGCCTCATTGACATTTGTTGTTACTTTTCTACCTCATGGCATCATTACCATGGTCTGGAAAGGTGTAAATCATTGTATGGCTCAATTGATACTTTCTGCTTATGCAACAATCGTTTGGATAGAACTTGACAGCATTTCTGCTAACTCCAGAACGTTGTGCTAGATTCTGTAGATGAAATGAAACCCTACCTATTTACAGGTTGTTCTCCATTGGTAAGAAAAATCTGTGCTGAGACACAGGAGTACAGATTGATGAATTATGACTAAACAATTAATTTATTGTGTGAAGTATGTTGTAAACAACAATGCCTCTAAACCGTAGATCGGGGTAAGCATCTTACTTAGTGTTCCTCTAGTTCGCCCTGGCGCAGTTGCGCCACAGCCTCGTGGACGTCGGTGTCGAGGGAGCTCGGCGCGGTGGAGTCCAGCGTGGTGGAGACGATGCAGAGGCAACGACGGAGTCGGTGGGGCTTCCCGTCGCTGGCAGCACCCTTCTTTAGATCGGATTAGGTTTTCTGTAGGTGGTTACGGCGGCTCCGGTCAACCTCGTAGTTAGAGCCGTGATCCCCACATATCTTTTATAGTGCTGTGCGACAGGGGCCCACCAATCATATTAGGGTTGGGCGCCCCCGATCAGGGCGCAGATCCAAGGGCCCAATAGGTCGTTGGTGGAGATCAACTAACATTCTCCCCCTTGATCTCACTACCATCTTTTAATTTTATATCATTTACTTTTGTTCATTCCATTACAGATTAGCGCATAGAGCATGTTTCATCGTCACGGTCAATTGCCGATAGATTTAACAACTACAACACACCACTCTGTTCTGAAATAGATACTTAACTTTGGGCCTTCTTTTGTCCAGGAATTTTAGGCTTTCCCTTAAACCCATGCTAGCTATATGTCCTCTGAAAACGTTGGGTGGTAAGCCTTTTGTAAGCGGATCCGCGAGCATCTTTTCGGTACTTATATGCTCAAGACTTATGACTTATATGCTCAAGACTTATGACTTTATCTTTCTTTCACAACATAATACTTTATGTCAATGTGTTTGACAGCACCACTTGACTTATTGTTGTGAGCATATTGTACTGCCGGATTATTATCGCAGTATAATTTAAGTGGTCTATAGATATCGTCAACCATCTTTAAATCGGGTATGAACTTTTTTAGCCAGTTCACCTGCCCCGTTGCCTCATAACACGCTACAAACTCGGCATACATTGTGGACGATGTAGTGACGGTTTGCTTTGAGCTTTTCTATGAAATAGCTCCCCCTGCGAGAGTGAATACATATCCAGACGTGGATTTTCTATCATCTCCCGTATAATCAAAATCTGAATATCCCACTATATGGAGTGAATCATATCTTCTATACGTCATCATGAGGCTTTTCGTTCCTTGCAAATAACGTAAGACTTTCTTTACTAATTTCCAGTGTTCTGTTCCGGGATTGCTCTGGAATCTGCCAAGTAATCCGGTAACAAATGACAAGACAGGGCGCGTACATACTTGAGCATATTGCAAGCTTCCGACAACTGAAGCATATGGAACCGTTTTCATCTGATCGATCTCATACTGGTTCCTGGGGCATTGAAAAACCCCATATCTGTCGCCCTTGACTATAGGAGCAGGTGAGGGACTATATTTGTGCATACTGAATTTCTTTAAGATCTTTTCTATGTATGCCTTTTGTGACAGTCCTAATACCCCTTTACTTCTATCTCGGTGAATCTCGATCCCTAGAACGAACGAAGCTTCACCAAGATCTTTCATATCAAATTTTGAGGACAAAAACTTCTTTGTCTCCAGTAGTAGACTGACATCACTACTAGCAAGTAAGATATCATCCACATACAGGACAATAAAGATAAACTTCCCATTCTTAAACTTTGCATCGGCATAATTGTCCTCAACATTCTCTTTAAACCCAAAATTCCTTATTGTCTAATCAAACTTCAAGTACCACTGTCGTGAAGCTTGTTTTAATCCATAAATGGATTTCTTTAGGCGGCATCCCATTCGTTCTTTTCCTTCCATGACAACCTTTCGGTTGTGCCATGTAAACATTTTCCTCCAAGTCCTCGTTAAGAAATGCCGTCTTTACATCTATCTGATGTAATTCTAAATCGTAATGTGCCACTAATGCCATTATGATTCTAAAGAAATCCTTACATGAGACTGGAGAAAAGATCTCATTGTAATCAATCCCTTCTCTTTGCGTAAAGCTTTTTGTCACAAGTCGCGCTTTATATCTCTCTATATTCCCTTGAGAGTCAAGTTTTGTTTTGTAGACCCATTTACAGCATACTGTTTTGGCTCATTTAGGAATTATTTTCAAGTCCCAAACTTTATTGGCATTCATAGATTTCATTTCATCTTTCATGGCCTCAAGCCACTTTGATGAATGATCACTTCTCATGACTTCTTCAAATGAGGTGGGATCATCCTCCATTTAATATTTCTTAGTGTTGTATACTTCATAGTCAGCAAGAATAGCTGATTTTCTAACTCTTTGAGACCTTCTAGGGGCCTCCACATTTGGCACATCTTCTGTTTGAGGCTGTTGTTGCTCCCCCTCATGTGTGGCAATAGGTTCTACAGGATCCTGAAGAACAGGTTCCTCATCGTCATTCATTGTTGTCACAGGCGGAATAACAACAGGTGTTGACACCACAGTATCTTGCACTGCCCGTGCAGCGACAACAGGTAGTGAGAAAAATGGCTCATGAATCATCAGAGTGGGCGCATATACCCGCTTCTCTTCAAGGTCAATTTCTCGAGCTACCATGCTCCCCTTCATCATTTCATCCTTTAGGAAGACAGCGTGTCTCGTTTTCACAAACTTTGTATGTCTGTCTGTATAGTAGAAACGAAAACCTTTTGACTTTTCTGGTTAGCCAATGAAATGACAACTTACTGTTTTAGGATTTAGCTTCCCAATGTTTGGGTTAAATACTTTAGCCTCAACAGGACTCCCCCACACACGTAAGTGGTTTAGTGAGGGTACTCTTCCTGTCTACAACTTATACGGTGTTTTGAGCACCGACTTACTTGGTACTATATTGAGAATATCAATGGCGGTTTTTAACGCTTCCATCCGCAGTCTCAATGGTAAGGTGGAGTAACTTATCATACTGCGCACTATATCCATCAGGGTACGATTGCGTCTTTTAGCTACTCCATTCTGCTGAGGTTCGTCCGGTGTAGAATACTAGGCTACTATACCATTCTCCTGGAAGAACCTTGCAAAAGGTCTAGGAACTTGGCCATATGGGGTATGCCGACCGTAGTACTCCCCCCACGGTCAGAACCGACTATCTTAATCTTTAAATTAAGTTGGTTTTCAATTTCTGCCTTAAATATCTTAAATTTATCCAATGCTTCTGTTCTTTCTTTGATTGAATAAATACAGACATAACGGAAGTAATCATCTGTGAATGTTATGAATGAATCATAACCATCCGCACTCGTTACAGGAAATAGATCACATATGTCTGTGTGAATAATCTGTAAAATTCCCGCGCTTCGATTGACATCTTTTTTAATTTACTTTACATACTTTCCTTTTTATGCATTCTCTGCATTGTTCTAAATCTGAAAGCTTCAATGGAGAAAGAATATCATTCTTAACTGGTCTTTCTATCCCCCCTTGAAATATGGTCTAAACGACAGTGCTATAATTTCGATGACGCATCGTGAGCTCTCTTATACCACCATTTCCAGAGTAACTCTCTGTCACCAGCTGCTTTATCAGCTGGGTAGCATGTCTTTGAAGAGCCAGTGAACTGACTCTTTATTCTATCGAGGTACTCGGTGACTGTGTCACACTCTAGGATTGAGCCCATAATTGCAGGTTCAATCGTGTTCTTTATCACAGCTAAACATTTCTTATTGACAGTGACCCACTTCCTATGCTCAAGGTCATAGGACATCTTTTGGGATTCAAAATCCCTCTCTTTAGTTGTCTAAGTGGCATCAGTCTCGTTTGTGTCCCTCACCAGTGCCACAGGATCAGTGGGACACGGTGTGGTGACTACCCAGTCCACCTCAGCCAAGATGAAGGCCAGATCAAACTTTTTCTTAACATAAAAATAACAATAATTGCATGCCTTGATTCCAACATTGGTCAAAATTAAAACATACAACTATTCTTATACACTAATTCTACATCATCGTTGGGCAGAAATAGAATTAATGCATAAAATCATTAAAATTTACAACTGTTCTTATACATTAATTCTACGTCATTGTTGGACAGAAATAGAATTAATGCATAAAATCATTAAAATTATGATATTGTTATTAACAACGTTGGTCAGAAAATAACATCATAATCATGTCAAAATCTCTTTTTCTCCAATTAAATATCACGTTGGTTAAAAATAACTGGAGAATTAACAATTTCTTTAGCAGCCATGTCAAAATCTCATCATAAATAACATCATAATATTACCATTAATCAAGGTTGGCCAGAATAATAACAATATTATAATCAATTAAAAACATATCCATTTTCAAAATTAAATTCTCTCGTTGGTTTGAATTTAATAATGAAAATAACATCTTCAAATTTCACAGCGGAAAAATAATTCAATTTAATGAATTTTTGCCCACAGGACAAATCTCTTTTCTATTTTCTTTAAGCCATTAATCAATTTTCAGAAAATAAACATTTACTGGAAAAAGAAAAAAGGAAAAATGATTCATTTCAGCACTGTTCCTTCGGCCCAGCTGGCAAAACGGCCCGGCCCACTTCTCTGCGCGCGCTGCCCGCACCCAGGCCGCAACCTGGGCCTGGGCCGGCAAAGCCGTGCGGCGCGCTCGCCCGCCTGGGCCGCAAGTCGGCCCGATCAATCTGAGTCGTCGGATCGCATCCGACGATCGCCCCACCGTCTCGCCCGAACAAAAAAGGCCCGGCTGGCCGCGTCGGCCGGAACCCTAACCCCCATTCTACTCCTCCCCTTCTCTCTCTCAGTCACGCGGAGCCCGAGCGAGAGCAAGCGTGAGCGAGCAGACGACTCGCCGCCATCGCTGGTCCCCTCGCCGGCGAGTGGCCTGGCTGCGGCATCCCTTTGGCTAGAGCTCGGCGAGCAGCGCCCCCGGCTCGGCCTTCTTTTCCCCGCGCGTCGGCGAGGCAGTAGCGCTGCGCAGCGGCGAGGTAGGCCTCCCCTTCCCCTTCTTCCCCTTCGGATCTGCTTCTTCTCGGTTGAGTCCGATTGGGATGGGGATTCGTTCTAGGGTTACAATCTTGGGTTAGGGTTTCACTGTGTATCATCCCGGTGGAGTCTTTACGGGTTTTAGGGTTCGACTTTGATTCTCTTCTAGGCCGAATCCCTCTTCTTTTGTTCTTTCCTTCACCCAGTTAGGGTTAGGGTAAGGGAATCGTTAGGGTTAGGATTAACCCGATTTGTTTCGATCGATTCGGTTTGTCTTTTTCATTTGATTTCTTTTCTTTTCTATTTGTACCGAATCGCTCTCTTCCCCTTCCTCGTCGCGAGTTAGGGTTAGGGTTCGGTTGAACCCGATTCGGTTTTTCTCTCGGTTTTGATTCAAGATCTTCGAGATAAGCCCCTTCCCCTCTTCCCTTTCTTCTCTTTGGATCTTCTTTCTTTTCTTTTCGGAGTTGAATCGATTTGGGTTTGGGGTTAGGGTTTGACTCACTGGAGTCACTATTCTTGTTCCCAGTGAGTGCTTTGTTGGTCAGGGTTCGACTTCGCGTGTCGAGACCTCTTTCTCTCCTCTTCTCAGATCCGAACTGGGTCAGTTCTTTTCTTGCCGTGCGCCGACGAAGACGGCGGTGCGGCACCTTTCCCCGCGCGGTGGCGGTGGTGACCGGGAGTTCAGTGACGTCCGCCACCCCCGGTGTCTTTTCAATTTTCTTTTACCCGGTTAGGGTTAGGGTTTCAATCCGAAACGGATCGAACCCTTATTCTTTCTTTGATTTCTTTTCAATGCTTTACCCCATACTAGATCTACACACTGGCAACCTGGCTCCGATACCACAACAATGCCTCTAAACCGTAGATCGGGGTAAGCATCTTACTTAGGGTTCCTCTAGTTCGCCCTGGCGCAGTTGCGCCGCAGCCTCGTGGACGCCGGTGTCGAGGGAGCTCGGCGTAGTGGAGTCCAGCGTGGTGGAGACGACGCAGAGGCGACGGCGGAGTCGGTGGGGCTTACCGTCGCTGGCATCACCCTTCTTTAGATCGGATTAGGTTTTCTGTAGGTGGTTACGGCGGCTCCGGTCAACCTCGTAGTTAGAGCCGTGATCCCTACATATCTCTTATAGTGCTGTGCGACAGAGGTCCACCAATCATATTAGGGTTGGACGCCCCCGATCAGGGCGCAGATCCAAAGGCCCAATAGGCCTGGTGGAGATCAACTAACAAAGTATTGTTTGGCTTTTATCAAACCAGAATATGGTCTTTCTGTGTTCCAAAAAAAAAGAATGTGGTTTCGGTATTACCAACGATTCTGTTTCAGATCTTATTGTGAATTCTATAACCTGGAGTCTTTTTCCATTTGCAGGGTGGTGGATTTGACAAGCTCACATTGGACAGCCTATACGATGATGGAAGCTACAGGCAGATGCAGCAATAACAGCTATACGGCTCAGCCCCTCCCAATCCCTTCATGGCAAGCGATCCGTTCGCCGTGTCAAATCAAGTAGCTCCCCCAGCGTCAGTTCAAATGGCAGCCATGGCTCCACAGCCCCAGCATTTGCCCATGACGATTGAAGCAAACCCCATTGGACCAACACAGCAGCATCACGCGGGGGAATCGCTCCTGCAGCAAACCCCTTCCTCGACGCCGGGTTCGGTGCGTTCCCGGCAGTAAATGGAATGCATCCACAGACAAGCAATTGGTCTGCAATCACTTTTCTCCGTCAGACCGTCACCAGTCAGGGAATCGCCATGTTTCATCTCGCCCTTCCATAGGCCTTGGCCGCTTGGCCTTTCTTGTGTAGCCCGTTTTGCTGTGGCTGGTTTCCATCTTCTGGGGTGGGCCATTGCACCCCCTCATTGTAAAGAAATTTGTTTCGAGCTTTCGGCTGATGTAAAACTACGTGCCAATAAGCAGTAGCAGTCCAGGACCCAGCTAACTCCTGATGGGGGATGTCTTCGGCCGTGCGAATGTTTCCGCGATTGGTCCCAAACTCCCAACCCAATTTGCTCTGCCCCTCGGTCCCCCGGCGTCTCTTCCTCGGTAAGGGGACCGTTGGAGCTGTACAATTGCATGGGCAGTGCATCCTCCAAGCCAGAAAGTCACTGGCCGAAGACATCCCCCGTCATGGGTCCTGTTTAGGTTCTTATGATCTTTCAATTTCAAATTATAAGACTACTTTTCTAGGTTCATTGTTTTTGCTATGCACTTAGATATACACTATGTCTAAATACATAGTAAAAATAATATATTTAAAAAAGCCAAAACGTCTTATAATTTGAAACGGAGGAAGTATAGTTGTTAGTGCTACAAATCAAACAGGACCATAGTTTGAAGTTTGAAGACTTAAAGATCACGATGCATTTTATTCGAAGTAAATAATCTATGGCACACATTTATGGCCAAATAGATAATCAGCCTGTTCGCTGGTGGGTTTCTGCGCTGATAAGTCCGGCTGGTGCTGATTTGTTGTGAGAGAAAAAAACACTGTTGACTGACTAATAAGCCCTCACTGAAACCATGGAGCGAACATTATATATACCAATAAAAGACATAGGATATCTATGCATATTGTAAACGTCATGCGAATAGGGTGGCGGTTAAAAAAGCTTTCCCATGGAATCCGGCGGGGTCCGGCAATAATTGCAATTATGGAAATGGAAAAGGACGCCGGCGCAGTGCAGCATCCACTCACAGCGGGAGAGGGGACCGGTCATCACGGCTGATCGTGGACTCGTGGTCAGCTGCAAGCTCCATTCCACTGCCCCTCGCGTCCCACAGTCCCACTCGCCGTCGCCACCGTTCTCGCCGCCTCGCATAGTCGCATTCTAAATACCACCCAACCTCGCCATGATTCGGCGGTTCTGAATGCAGCAGCGCGGGCTCTCCTGTAACCGCCGCGCCCGGAGCTTCTCCCGAGCCCGCGTCGCCGTCGAGGGCTGTTAACCTCGCAACACCCCTCCCCAACCAACAAACGAACGCGCAGGCTCGCTGTGATGGCCGCCGCCGCCGCCGCTGTGAATGGTAAGCGATTGGCCCGTTGCGCACGCATTTCGCGTTTGAATTGGTTTGAGATAACTGTCGAGCATATGGCGTGCAGGTTTTGTATGAGGATTGAGGCCTGGCGTTGACTGCGGGGACTGATGGTTTCTGGCTGTGTGTTGTTGCAGGGAGCCTAGACGTCCATGAGAGGAAGGCGTAGAGGAGCTACTAGGAGGAGCGCTCTGGGGAGCTCACCCTCGAGGCCATGATGCTCGACTCCCGTGCCGCCGAACTCGACAAGGAGGAGCGCCCAGAGGTGATTTATCCTGCGACGATATTTTTCACTCGGCTTTTTTTAAGTTTCAGTTCGTATGTTTATGATTCATCTGCTTGAACCTGAGGATATGGTCGCCCGTCTCGCTGTTCGTGGGCTTATCCAGGTGCTGGCGGGCCAGGCGCGGGTGGATTGGGCGAGCTGGCGAGCCGCGACTCGTGTTAGCCTGCCGCGGCGGGAGTGCGCCGCCTCGTCCAGTTGCCTCGTCGACCTCGACGGATCATGTTCATGGACGGTGAAGTGCCTCACCTATAATTTTTGACTTGGCGGGTTCCCACCTGAGTGCCTCCTGTGCGCCTCCTGAGCCCGCGCCGGTGGCCACCCCGGCCGCCAGCCCCCACGCCAACGGCCGGCCCGGTCAGCGGCTACCTCTTCGCCGACCTCAGCAACCCCGTCGTCGGCCTCAGCAAACCTGTCACCGGTCAGACTCTGCCGCTCTCGAGCTTTGCCCCTGGAGTTTCGCCGGCGGCCGACGGACGACCTGTACCTGCGGGATTAAAAATAAGTGAGACCTGTACCTGCGGTCCCAACCTGAAAGTAAGCTTCCTCTTCCCCACTCCTCCTCGCTCATGGATCTGCATGGTCTTTCTTTTTCTCCGGGATTAAAAATCCAAGAAGAGATTTGGGATCGGTTCAAGCTTCCTGTCACCAGACATGCTTTAAATCCTGCTTCTTTTGCTCTTGTGCTTGCTGTGGGGCGCTGTAAATTCCGCCTCACGGAAGACTCAGTTAGTCAAATCCTTCAAGCCACGATTGGTGGCATTGCTGCCCAGTTCAAAACTGAGCTGCTGCGTGATCGTTCTTTCAAATTCTTTGTCTCCTCCAGAAAGGTTGGCCTCTTCATCTATGCCCTCCGCTCTTTTACCTGTGAGCAGTATTTTCTCTCCTTTCATCTGTGGAGCAATGGAGGACCAAATTGGAGACGGGAATTTTCTCTTTATCTCTCTGAAGAAGAGAGTTCTTGGCAAGCTGCAACCAAAAAATCTCAGCCCCTTCGCTGGGATCATCCAAAATCTTTTGCTGAAGCTGTTAAACTCCCATTCTCTCTCTGGTACTAATGCTGTTCCGCTTGGTTCCCCTAATTTGAATCGCCATGGCCCCCGTCATTCAGTTTTCATCCGTCTTGATTTTTCAAAAAGAGTTAATGCTCCTAGACGCTCGGTCTTTGAGCGTATCTCCTTGAAACAGCGAAATCTTCACCCTGCTTCCACTCAATCTCGTCTAAGGGACAGGGGCCCGGCATTTGTCTGTCCGCGCTGCCTATCCCTTGGTCATTCTAGAGTCAATTGTAGACGCCCTATCAGGTGTCACGCGTGCTTGGGCTGGGGACATACAGAGGTGCACTGCCACTTGACAAAGGCCTCTGGACAGCGACAAGAGACGATGAACAGTAAAGGCAAAAGTAAAAAGGACCCTTCATTTAATCAGCCCCGGTTTAACTCTGCTTTGAGCGGGCTGTCAGCTTCGAGCCCGCCGCTCTTCAATTCGTTCCGTGAAATGTTTCGTGCTCTCTTCCCTGCTTCCTGGGCCGGCAATGAGCCACCCCCGGTCTTAACTGTTCCCTGGCAGCTGCAGCCCACGCGCGCCACCCAAGAGTTGCCTTCCAATGCTTTAGAGGCCCCTGACCCCGCATCCTGGAGACTAAACGTCGCTTCACCTTCTTGCCGATCCTCTCCTCGCGTGGCAAAAGTGCAAGCGGAAAATCACACCTCACCCCTTGCTCACTGCTCTTCACCTTCACTCTTCGCCGGCGATCATGGCTTACCAGCGTGCAGACCCTGCTCCGTTTGTTCCGCATGGCTTCCAACTTGATGAAATCACCAACCGGGAGTTCATGGTTCGAGTAGTGGCACCGGTCAGGCCTGAGCAGCCATCACAGGAGAATGCAGCATGGGAGCTTTGGCCTGCACCACAGCAGCAGCAGCAAGCTCAGGCTCAGGGAGGCAACCCTGGGCCAAATCTGAATCTGAATCTGAACCTTGAGCCACAGCAGGAGGAGGTGATGGACCAGCCAGATGACATCAACCAGGATGAATTGGTTGGATCAGGTGAAGATGCCTTCCCTCAAGATAATGGTTTCCCTGAAAATGAAGAGAATCATGAGCAAGCAGTTGAGATGCAGGAAGACCATATAATACCAGAAAAACATGGAGTACAGGAGCAGCCTGCAATACCAGAGAAACATGATCACCAACACCTGAATGTGCAGGTACAACAGAATCATCAGGATCAGCACTTAATGATTCCGGTACAGCAGCATAATGCAGTTGGGCAGCCAGTGATGCTGCCAGATCTGAACAATGAGGCTCTGCAGCAAGAAGGCATGGAAATTGATCTGAATATGCCAGCGAATCAGCAAGGTGAAGGCCAAGAGTTTGATCAGCAGGAAGTCATATTCAACCCCGCACAGCCAGTTAATGACTTCATTAAGCTGAATGATTTTGGGGATGCCAATATGATTGAGGAGGAAATTCAAATTCAACAGCCAGTACTGCCGCAACACCCTGATGAGGATCATCTGATGGCTCTTTCTGATGAACTGCATCAAATCCTACCTCTCCCTGTCATCCCAGACCTCTTAGGGGAGAAAATTGGTTTAGATCAGTTGATGGGTACAGATGATTTAGAAGAAAACCAAGATGAAGAAGAGAATGGAAATCATGCTGGGGCAGAAGAGCCAGAAGAGAACCCTGCTGTAGCAGATGGCCTTGGGCTTCCTGAGAATCTGGACGTAGATCAGCAGCAGTTGCCAGAGCATGGGAAAGAACTCAATGAGCAGCAACTGCAAGTTGGAATGGCACTGATGCCAAATCTGCAGTTTGACCCAGTTTTCATGGAAAGAGAAGTCAGGCAAAGGGCATTGGAATCCTCCAAGCTATGGGAAGCTTTTTTTGGCCAAGGTAATCCTGGAAGGCTCACTGTCACAGTCCCCACTAATTGGTTTTATTTCTTCTCATCACTGTTGTTATCTCCAGACAACTTTGGATGGGCCAAAGATTTCCTGACTTCCAAAGCTCCTGAGTACTTGGCAGAAAACTCTGATAATGTATCACTGCTTATCCCCACGGAATATCCCAGCAATGCTAGTTCACCTTGCTTTGCTGAGACATCTTCTACAAACCCTGCAGTAATGAGCATGGAGGGGAAACAAACTGTGCACATTGAGGAGATAACTGACAATCAAGTCCTGGACTCATCCCCTTCAAATGGGGGTACAAAGAAGAGAAAATCCTCTAGAAGGACAACTCCTCTGTTGGAAACTCAGGTACGCAGGAGTGACAGGGTGAAATCTGGAAATAACGGTTTTAAATCTGCTGGCTGTCCTAGTAAAAAATGCACCTCCTGTAACCCTCCACCACCAACACCCCCAACCTTGTCCACCAAAGTAATAAGGAACCTTGGTGTGCAGTTTTGTAGCATGGTGCCTGAAGAGCTCATGGATGATCAGCTGTTGAGGAAGAAAGGAAAAGTGGAGCCAGTAGCCAAGAAGAGGAGCATCTGATGGCTCTTGCTGATGTATTTGTTTTTGCTTCTTGCCTAAAATGTCTGCAATGAATCAGAATTCTAATAGAAGTTGGAAAGTGATGACCTGGAATGTAAGAGGGATAAACTCATCCTGGAAATGGGACCCTGTCAGAAATAAAATCTCTGAAGCCCAGTGTGACATCTTTTGCCTTCAGGAAACCAAGAAAGAAAGTTTTGACATCCCCTTTCTGAGGAAAATTTGTCCTCCATCCTTTGATACCTTTGATTTCTTGCCATCTATGGGGGCCTCGGGGGGTATTCTGATAGCTTGGAAAGGATCCTTATTCACTGGTGCTAGATCTTCTAGTAACAACTATGCTATAACCATTGATTTTAGTTCAAGGCATGATAACTCCAAATGGAAGCTCACTTGTGTCTATGGTCCATGCACAACTGAAGGGAAACGTCTCTTTCTTAACTGGTTCAAAAATGTCCAGATGCCTCCTGACACTGACTGGATAGTCTTGGGTGATTTTAATCTAATCAGGAAACTAGAAGACAGAAACAAACCTGGAGGGGAGGGATCTAGCAGAGATTTTCAGATTTAATGCTGCTATTAGTCAATTGGGCATCAATGAGATTGTTCTGGAGGGGAGGAAGTACACTTGGTCCAACATGCAACCCTCCCCTTTACTAGAAAAACTGGATTGGATTTTCACTTCTAGTAGTTGGGCCATTTCATACCCCAGTACTTCTGCTAAAGCACTTGACATGATCCCTTCTGATCATTGTCCTTGTGTGGTTAGCATCTCAACCTTAATTCCAAGAAGTAGAGTCTTCAGATTTGAATTTTTTTGGCTTAAGCGTCAGGATTATCGGAGTATTTTAACACAAAACTGGGATATTCCTACAAATGAAGGTGACAAAGCTAAACTAATCACAGCAAAACTGAAAAGGCTCAGAAAATGTCTCAGAGATTGGCAGGCATCCATGACAAATCTGAAAACAACTATTGCAAATGTCAGGATCACTATTCTTTTCTTAGAAGTCTTAGCTGATCACAGAGATTTGTGTCTGCCTGAATGGAACTTCAAAAGACTGCTGGAAGACCACCTTCTAAGCCTTTTAGAAAAGCAAAGATTGTACTGGAAACAAAGAGGAAACATTAAGTGGGTTCAATTGGGGGATGCAGGAACACATTTCTTCTATGCAAATGCTACAATAAGACATAGAAGCAAATTAATAAATGAGTTGACCAACAGAGATGAGGCAATAGTCACAAGTCACAAGGATAAAGAAGCCTTATTGTGGGAAGAATTCAAGCAGAGAATGGGAATCTCTGATTTCAAAGGATTCACTATTAACCCAGAAGATCTGATCCAGAGGAACCTGAATTTGCACCATCTTGAAGCCCCCTTCACTTCTGATGAGATTGATAACATCATCAAATCTTTGCCTAATAACAAATCTCCAGGTCCTGATGGCTTTAACAGTGAGTTTATGAAAGCATCCTGGACAGTGATCAAGAAAGACTTTTATGATCTGTGCAGAAGTTTCCATGATAACAGTTGTTGTCTGCAGAGCATAAACTCCTCTCACATTACACTGATCCCAAAAACTGAAAATGCTACATATGTGAATGACTACAGGCCAATTTCTCTGCTAAATTCTTCAATGAAACTTTTGACCAAATTACTGGCAAACAGGTTGCAGGCAACAATCATACCTTTGGTGCACAAGAATCAGTATGGGTTCATCAAATCAAGAACTATACAGGACTGCATTGCTTGGGCTTTTGAATACATTCATTTCTGTCATCAGTCCAAAAAGGAGATTGTCATCTTAAAGCTTGACTTTGAAAAGGCTTTTGACAAAATTGAGCATCAAGCCATGATAACTTTAATGGAAGCACAAGGTTTTGGGCAGAAATGGATCTCATGGATGAAAGATATCTTCTCTTCTGGGACTTCTGCTGTCCTTTTGAATGGAGTGCCAGGGAAAACTTTTCATTGTAAGAGAGGGGTGAGGCAAGGTGACCCTCTGTCACCCCTTCTTTTTGCCCTAGCTGCTGATTGCCTGCAAGTGCTGATCAACAAGGCTAAGCAAATGGGGCTGCTCAACTTGCCCATTCCAATGCAGGCAGCTAGTGATTTTCCCATAATTCAATATGCTGATGATACCCTTATCGTCATGGAAGGTGACCCAAGACAGCTTTTTTTCCTGAAAACTCTGCTGTATAACTTCTCTGAATCAACAGGACTCAAAGTGAATTATAATAAATCTATGATGCTTCCAATTAACATCTCAGAGGAAAGGCTTGACCTTCTGGCCAGAACTTTTGGTTGCACCAAGGGAACTCTCCCCTTCACTTATCTTGGACTTCCCCTTGGAATAACTAAGCCAAAAATCAGTGATTACCTCCCATTAGTTAATAAGTGTGAAAGAAGACTTGGTGGGGTCTCATCAATGCTTAATCAGGCTGGCAGACTTCAAATCACCAATGCAGTTTTGTCCTCCTTGCCAACCTACTACATGTGCTCCCTGGAACTGCCCAAGGCAGTAATAAAACAGATTGACAAGTTCAGAAAGAGCTGTCTATGGAGGGGATCAAACATAAATGGTGGTAGTTTTCCAAAGGCAGCCTGGGAGATGGTTTGCAATTCAAAAGAAGAAGGAGGCCTAGGGGTGATAAATCTGGAGCTTCAAAACAAAGCCTTACTGATGAAGAACCTGGATAAATTTTACAATAAGAAGGATATTCCTTGGGTAGACCTAGTGTGGGAGAAACATTATAAAAATGATAAACTTCCTGGACAGGTGAAGAAGGGCTCATTTTGGTGGAGAGATGTCTTAAAGTTGCTGCCCACTTACAAAGAAATGGCAGTCATTCAAGTTAAAAAATGGTCATTCCTGTTTTTTCTGGAAGGATACATGGTCTGCTCAAACTCTTGAACAACAATTCCGACATATATACTCCTTTGCAAAGAACAAGCTCATAACTGTCAAAAGGGCTTTCAGTCAGGAATTGATCTCTGACATGTTCAACCTGCCTTTATCTCAAGAAGCTTTTGATCAGATGATGAGCATTCAACAGATAATGGCTGGCACGCATTTGGGGGATGATAATGATGTTTGGTCTTATTCAGGAGGCTCAGTCAAATTCAAATCTACAGCAGCATACAAAAAGCTACTTGGACACCAAGAAATTGATCCAGCCTTCAAATGGATTTGGAAGTCATACTGTCAACCGAAGCATAAAGTATTTTGCTGGCTTTTACTCAAGGACAGACTAAGTACAAGAAATATCCTCAGAAGAAGGAAAATGGAATTGGAATCTTACAGCTGTGAAATCTGCTCTCTATTGATAGAAGAAACTGTTGAGCATTTGTTTTGGAATTGCCCCTTTGCACAGCAGTGTTGGGGGATTTTGAATCTGGAAACAGTACCAAATGAAGACTCATTCGAAAACATAAGGGCCATCATAGATCAGCTTCACTCCCAATTCTTTATGGTTGCTGTCATTTTAATGTGCTGGGTAATTTGGAAAGCCAGAAATGAACTAATCTTTAACAACAATCAAGTCAACATTCAAGATTGCAGGACTCTTTTCTTCAACGAAATTCAGCTAGTCTCCCTAAGGGTAAAAGCTAGCCTCAAGTTCTCCTTTGAGCAATGGATCCAAAGCCTGTAATTGATCAGTGTCTTAGTCTTATTTTCTTTCTTTCTTTCTTTGTTTCTTAAGTTTACTCTTTGTAGTCTCCGTAGTCTCCCTGTAACACCTCTGTAAACTCTTTCATTTCTGCTTCTTTGCCTTTGTTGTACTCTTTTTGTTTGGTTTAATAAAATTCTGTAGGGGCTGCGGCCCCTCCAGTTCTCTCAAAAAAAACCTGAGGATATGCTAATGCTCCTGTGATTGTAGCCTTGTAGGCTTAAAATTTTGATATGTTGGTGCTTCTTTTCTGTAGGTTCTGTCTTTACTTCCTTCATATGAAGGGAAATCTGTACTGGAGCTGGGAGCAGGAATAGGTCGCTTTACTGGTGAACTGGCTAAAACATCTGGGCATGTTTTTGCAGTGGATTTCATTGAAAGTGTGATTAAAAAGTTACTGAGATTTACACTTTCCCCTGATGTAAATAATTTCAGGCTTGGTAGCTGAATTTGATCGTTTTGTAGAATGAAAATATAAACGGTCACTACGACAACACATCCTTTATGTGTGCTGATGTTACATCCCCAGACCTGATGATTGAAGCAAACTCCATTGATATGATATTTTCAAACTGGTTGCTGATGTATCTTTCAGATGAGGAGGTAATGATCAAACTGTACATTATAGAATCATAAACTGATTCAAGGTATATCGCTAAAGAAAAAACTCAACTGCAACTTTTTGTGTGGATAAGGTTACATTTATCGTTTGACCTGAATTGGGATATGTTTGTCCCTCCAATTTTTCTGACTGTTTCTCTTACTGTTGATTGACAAGTTAGTAGAAAGAATGATAAAATGGCTGAAGGTCGGTGGCTATATCTTCTTTAGGGAATCTTGTTTCCATCAATCTGGAGATTTAGAAAGGAAAGTCAACCTGACACACTATCGAGAACCAAGGTTTTATACCAAAGGTGAGAATGCAAACTCGCCTAGTGCCGTCCCCTTTTGCTTTTATGATTTCAGTCAATTCAAAGTTTTTCTGTTCTTACCCACTCCACTCTTCAGTTTTCTTAGTCTCAGTACCAGGCTACCAGCTTTCTTTGAAATAGCTGATGATGTCTTTTCCCATCTAGGTATTGAAAGAATGCCAAACCTGATGGCACTTCCTTCAAACTTTCTCTGGTTACTTTCAAATGCATTGGAGCTTATGTAAACATCAAGAAAGATCAAAACCAGGTACTTCTCTGTCCTTTTTTTTTAACGAACCGAGCAGGATAATTGCCAATTATGTTAAAAAGAAGGTGAACCCAGACTGGGCAAGACAACAGAATTACAACAGAGCAACGTGACTCCAACAACAAAGAGCTAACAGCTAGACATGCGTTTCCATTCCTGTGAATTTAGTATTGAACATGACTCCATTGTTTCCAGATATGTTGGCTATGGCAAAAAGTAAATTCATCAGAAGATGGGGGTTTTCAAAGTTTTTTGGACAATGTGCAGTACAAAGCCACTGGAATATTGCGCTACGAACGTATCTTTGGAGATGGTTACGTGAGCACTGGTGGAGCTGGTGAGAGGACACATCCCATTTTGTCATTTTTTTTGTGATATCATATTTGCAGTGCCATTAAATGTTATTGTCTATCACTATCCACCAGAGACTACTAAAGAATTTGTGGATAAACTGAATCTTAAGCCTGGGCAGAAGGTGCTTGATGTTGGATGTGGAATTGGGGGAGGTGACTTTTATATGGCTGAGAAGTATGGTACCCATGTTGTTGGTATTGACCTTTCCATTAACATGATATTGTTTGCCCTTGAGCGTTCCATTGGGCGTAAGTGCCCAGTTGAGTTTGAAGTCGCTGATTGCACCACGAAGACATACCCAGACCACATGTTTGATGTCATCTACAGCCGTGACACTATCATTCATATACAAGTATGCTTTACTCATATAATGCATGTAGTCTTTTTCTTCCAAGATGATAGCTACATCTTGATCATATAGAATGATGGAATGTATCTCCAGTTGGAGATGTACTTAGAAACTTTTTTTTTGGCATAGACACATGTTTATGGCATACCTTTAGTTGACTATTTGACTAACATGTCTTTTTTGCTTTTGACTCTGCAGGATAAACCCTCCTTGTTCAAAAGTTTCTTCAAATGGCTAAAACCTGGGGGAAAAGTCCTAATCAGTGACTACTGCAAGAGTCCTGGGAAACCATCAGAAGTGTTTGCAGCATACATTAAGCAGAGGGGTTATGATCTCCATGATGTGGAGGCTTATGGACAGGTGGTTCTTAGCTCTTACCTGATCTTATTTTTGTGTGCATGGTTAATGCTTAATATAATTGCTTTGATCTAAAAGTATAATTCCGTTTGATGAGTAATAAACCTCTATTCCCCGAATTATCCAGATGCTCAAGAATGCTGGTTTCAGTCATGTCATTGCTGAAGACCGAACTGACCAGGTCTGCCCATCTGAACATGCGCAATCTGCATGTTCATATTCTTGTCTACTAAGATGCTTGGATAAACAGTTTTAGTGACACACTGTGTGTTGTGTTTCAGTTCCTCAGTGTTTTACAGAAGGAGCTAGATAAATTTGAGAAGAACAAAGATGATTTCCTGTCTGAGTTTGCCAGGTGATTTGACAAAGCCCCTAAGAAGTTCAACAATGAAAACTCCTAGCAAAAATGAAAATATCAAAAGTTCAGCGATGAACTGGCTGGCGCTTTAGAAACCTGCATTCTTTCTCTGTTGCTCTAAATCATATCTAACTCTTTGTTTCATTTGTTCCCAGGAGGATTACGATGATATCGTGAATGGATGGAAGGCAAAACTGCAGAGGAGCTCTGCTGGTGAGCAGAGGTGGGGGCTGTTCGTCGCCACCAAGTGATGCGCGTGTGGCCTTACAAATAAAGTGGCTTTCGCAGTTCACCGATGGGATTGGCTTCATAGCGTGATTTTACATAACTGAACTCTGAGAGCCTATCCTATTTCTTTGTGCTTTGGGACTGGTTTAACTTTACGGTCCTGTGATCGCACTGAAATATAGAGTGTGCTGTACTGATGCCACCTTTCTGTGAAAGTGTAATAAGCTCTCCGCATGGCTCGGCATGTGGCTACATGGGTGATATATGAACATGAAATTTGTTATTTTCATATGATTTTTAAAAAAAAAAATGATTTTGCATCTTGACCAATGTGCATATATTGCATTGAAGATGTGCATCGTTTTAAATTTTTTGAAAACTTATGAGTATGTGTTTCAACAGAATTATCACGATTGTACCGAACAAGAGATTTACACTGAATATTTACCCAACACATATGTGTGTGCCATAGTTCTTTTCTTCATTTCAAGATTTCTTGCCAAACTAGCCGAGGAAGCGAATTCCAGTGCTTCAAACCAAGGGCAAATTGTGTACTTAGGGCTTCGTCTAGTAGCTACTAAATTTAGTAGCTTTTAGTTACTTTAGTAACTTTTCAACCAAACACTATGACTAAAAGCTACTAAAAGGACTTTAGTTATCTCTAGTAACTCTGGAGTTACTAAAAGTAACTAAACTGTTTAGTAACTACTAAAGTTTAGTATTCCGAGGTGGATCTCAAAGCATCCGGCCAAAGGACTTCCAAAGCATCCGGCCGAAGGACTTCCTTTTGTTCTCCACGTTTCTATGTACGTACACATCATGTCATTTATGGTCAGGGCTCTCAATTTGTATATTTAAATTCGATTCTAGCTGTCTCTTCAGCGTGCACACGTGGGCTGCGGGCGGGGTGCTACTCATCCAACGACGTGGTGATGAATTTTCTAGGCACTGATCGTGGCTCGTGAGGTGGATTTCGCTTAGGGCCCGTTCGGTTGTAAGGGATTATTGGTCTGGAATAATTTCTATCTGGATTGTTTCAATAATTTATATAACATTTATCATCTAGAACTATTTCTGGTTGCATTTTGGCCTAAACGAACAGGCCCTTAGGGTCGTTTGGTTCACGGGGTCTGGTGGCCTGAATCATTTCGGTCAGGATTGCTTCGGTGATTTATATAGCAATCGTTCACGGGGATAATTCCTGGAGTTGTTCCCCTTCAACGAAGGTGGCCTTAGGCAGATAGGCACACGTGAATGGCTCTCCTGCTGTCAGTGGATTAGATTATGGTGATGCACGCTAATGGATAGTAAATAGTGCCAAACGGAGAAACAAAGACAAGTAAATATTTTCTCTACATGAAGCACTAGCTAAGAAAAATAGTGCCAAACTGATGAACCCATGGCTGATTAAGCTATTATTCATGTTAATTTTGTTGAAACTTATTGCAAGGTAACAAATAAACTTCCATGCAACTTGGTTCATGTCAGTCTTATGAATCTACTCCCTTTGTTAAGTAAATTCTCATATAATTAATCCCTAAAAAACTTCAACTCTACAAAAACATATTTAAAATTTCAATGTGGTTTACTTGATTATAAATAAAATAGAATGTGGGCTCGAAACAAAAAAAAGAATCTCTATTGTAAAATTTTTTTGAACTACAAATTCCTTAATTAACAAATTAACCATGAGTCATCCATGAATTCAAAAATACAAAACGTGTCAAAAAATATCTATACAAATATAAATAGTATTTAATGCATTATATTGGATTTCCAACTAATTACCAAGTGTTATAATATATGATTGTTAAGCAACTCCAAGAGACTCTTTATATTCTTCCTAATTTATAGGAATAAAGATTTTGGTGAAAACATACCCTCCAACAATCTTTTTAAATGGATCACCAAATACATGCATCCTCTATTCTGGATTTCTCGCTAGCTAAAGATGGAGAGCGAGGATGACTATCTAGAGTGCGCACAAGATATAGAAAAGTTGTTGAAGGATACAAAGATATAGAAAACAATTTTTACTTAAATAACTCTATAAATGATGATTTAGAGAATAAATTTAGAAATACTCTTGGAGATGCTCTTAAAGATTGAACTATTGACCATTCAATACAAAGGCCAGCAGTCGACCAACAACAGCTAGGAGTGACTCAACAAATAGCCGAGTGTCCTTATAACACGATCGAGAATAGTTTAATCGTTAGGAATTATAACCATTTGCCATGTATCTCATTAGGACCATTGGGAATTAGTTGTTCATGTAGGCCAAAGACCGACAGGCTTACTTATAGCCATTGATAACACCTCAACCGTTGGCCATTTACAATCTCCTCGACTACCCTTGGCCATTACACTGTCCTCTTTGGCATATGACATGTTCCTAGTAGTGAACTGCATAAATTTGTCATAAGTTAAAGCTCTATTTGGATTCATAGATCATTTGAATCCATGATACGCAACTAACAATTATCATACTAGTTAGGACAAAACCAACTAATAACAACTAATAGTTAGCTAGTGTTGATACCAAAGGTGGCAAATGGATAAACCGCAAGCTACGGTTGTCAATATAGCATTCACTAGGAGTATTCCAGGTATCGATTTCCATAGAGAACGTGAAGTGCACTAACAAAGAATCAGGTTCGTCCAATGATAACATAAGAAGTTTATGATAGTTTGGGTAGAGAGGATTCTTATGGTTATGATATCTGGCAAGATAAGATAGATATAAGGGCGATAGCCTCGCCCTTTCTCATGGGGTGAAAGACAAAACAACAAGAGGACAACACCCTTGCCCGAAGCGACTAACATGTTACGGGAGCCCTACTGTGGCAGAACCGCCTAATCTGATGCCTCCCAGGAGTACTCGTCTTCCATTAGACACTAAGCACCCAAAGGAGGACACAAAATTGCGCAGTCCCGTCGGGCACACCCCAGGGGAGAACCACGAAAATCCACATTTTCCATCAGGATCACAAATGAGAGAAATAAACTTACATCATTCTTAATCATTTCTTACATCACTTTTAATACAACATCAGAGTATAATATTTATTGTTATAACAGTGAAATGTAATCATATTATCAGAGTTATGAATAATTTAATGTAACAGCGGAATATAAACATGTGATCAGAATTACAGCGGAAATAATTATCTATTCATGGCATGATGAAGCATTGATATGTAAACTATGACAATAGATTATAAACTTTCATGTATAAAAACATTTAGTGAGAGTTATAAATGAAAACTATGATCGCAGCATAAAGAAAATCCTCTCTGAGCCCACCAGGAGGAATCCACATACAAATGTCAGCTCTAGCCTCCACCTGTTACCTGCAACAGGGGGAAATAAAATCCTGAGTACTCAATTGTACTCAGCAAGACTTACCCGACAGGAGAAAAGAAAAGACTCCAAGGATATGCAAGGCTATCTGGCTTGTGGGTTTATTGCATCTGCAGGAAGCATTACTAAATGTGCGTCCTTGTATTCGATTTTTATTAGCAGTGCATTAGTTCATTAACTAACCATTCTATGTAAGCACCTGTGCTACTTTCAAGCAGGTGGTAAGCCATCAGATTTCCATTTATTCACCTTTACTCTTTCAGTTCTTACTACGGTGCTAGACCTTCGACAAGCCGTACCAGATCGCCTAATGATTCGCGAATCAATGCCCCCAGCTGGGTACCCTGAAAACACACGCCCCGCTTGTACCCCGGGCACAAGCAGGACCAACCCACTACCCTCCTGTCACGGGGTCCAGGTCCCCGTCCAAACTGGGACTCCAATCCTCCGCCCCTGAGTCTCGGACTCAGTGCGGTGCAAGGACCTCCTAACCCAAAAACCACCATGACAGTCGGTCCAGAAAGAGCCGGAACCCATGACAACAGAATAACAAATCTTCCAAGCGCCCATACCCAAGTATGTGCTCAGGATAATAAGTCTATGACTTGCCTAGAGTCTTATGCAATGGCCGGTCCTTAACCGACACAGGCAGGGAAATCAGTGTAACCAAGCTATGCCCCGTGGCTGCAGGACACAACCTCTTACACCCACCAATACCCAAACCATATCCTTGTCCGGTCATCATTTTCCTTTCCACCATTTTATATATTCCAAGTGATAATAATACAGTAATATATTTCCTATCTCTCGCGAGTGATAGGTAATCGCTCGACTTCTACCGGAGTCCTGTAGCATAGCAATCTATATGATCCTGTCATACTAGTAAGACTCATAGGATAAAGATATATATGCAAGTGGGTTTCATTCAACTCTTAAAACTTAATGCACAAATATAATTTAAAGTACAGAGAAGTAGGGGTTATGCACCGGGGCTTGCCCGGGTAAAATATAACCAAAAGTTAGTATTTGTATCTTCAGATCATCCACCATCAACTGAATAGAAAGCCCATTGCATCATCTCCTAGAGAGAATACCATTACACCATCTTTGGATTCCCAATCATCCTTCAATTGATCCATTGATCCATCATCGTACCTATATGATATGCATTGATGCAAATGCATAGATGTAAATAACCAACGACAGCCGAAACGCTTAGAAATCTGATCACGCCTCACAAGCTAACGAGATAGCTCTAACGCTGGTCTACGTATTCATGTTGTCGAATAAGGCATTACTTCCCAACCAATGTTTTAGTTATACAAACTCAAGTTGTTTCTTTATCCCATTCTATCAATTAAATCTGTATTCGAATTAGGGCATCATTAACTACTCTAGTAAACTAATTATTTTGATGCTACAAAAATTACATTGAGTAACTAATATTATTAGGAGTTTACTGTAAAATTTTTAGGGTCAACACTATCGCCATTTTCTCACAAAATTTCCCACAAGTTCACATTTTGATAATATTAAGCATTCTAATTTAATTTAAGCAACCCTGAAAACATCTTAAACTAGGTGAA